ATGTATGACTGTAATTGGTTTGTATCATGATTTGACAACAGTTATCTGGCTTTATTGCATAACAATGCATACCTATGTGACCTCATTCAGTTGAATATAGAACATGATACTTATGGCATGTGACCATGATAATCGTCTGTGACTAAGTTTTGTTGTGAATATGACGCCTGGATTCATAGCATTACACATGCCTGTAACCATATTATTTCTGGTTATACAACAATGTTAATATATCTGTAGCCAAAGTGCACGATTGCATACATCTAATTGTGTGTGATTTCCCTATATTTACTTAACATTGGGTCTTTCTAAACTATTTTGTGCAGGATTGACAATTTATCATATCGAAGGAACGATGGTTCCCAGGCAAGATTACAACATCGGTCAGCAAGGGTGTGTTTTCAAATATTCAAGCAAAATTATCTAACCGACATAAGCTCATTATAAGGGGAACATGCTTTGCTCATTTTCTCCACTGCCATGAAATTGTGATATAACCGCAATTAATTCACTACTTCCTCTTACGGCAGGTCTACCAACCTAATCCTGAAGAGATGTGGTCTTTAGTTGCTAGGCATTATGTTAGATTCTCTATATCCGAGTTTTGCATAGTCACGGGGTTGAGATGTTCTGGCGATAGTGACATGGGCATTTTTGAAAGTAGACAATCACAACTGAAGAATAAGTACTTTTCTCAAGTGGATACCGTGACACATGAAGATGTGAAATCCAGGTTCATATCTGCTTACCAAATGCCTGACCTGGATCTGGTTGAAACTCTCTCGGAACATGATGTTGCACTCATTGGTATCCTGTACTTCATTACTGCATACTTATTTCCTAGAGATTATAAGAAAGTGGTCGACTATTACTTAGTCACGCTTGTTGAGGACTTCCCTTCATCTTTGAAAGATGCATTAAGTCGACAAACCGCACATTATAGGCTACGAGGTATGTTGGTAGCCTTTGAAGCATGGATCTACGAAACCTTCCCTGACCTAGATGAAGTTATTGTCACAAGGGTATCGAGGACGCACCTTCGAATCAATACTGGAACGCAAACGAGTAACCTTCTGCATCTAAGTTGGAGGAACTGGGCTGCTTCAACAAGCCTAATGTAATGTTTCAGTAATCCATATTCTGTTGATAGTGGAAGATATGGTAAACTTATTGTTCTCTAATCTTTACTGTAATGCAATGCAGATTGAAATATGTGACCTAGTGCCTACTGAAGCTGAAATGGCAATACCATACATGGATGGCATACAACATAACAAAACAATTCAACCAGAGTTTTCTTGGGGCAGCCGCCGAAAGGAAAGCAGGAAGGGAAAGTCTGTTAACCCTTCACACATGAGTGATGAATCAGTGCCTTTGGTAACGGACACTGGTGTTAGACAGGCTCACATTATAGATGATGATGACAATTTTGTGGATCCTCTACGACGATGTGAGGTGATATCCCATCAAGAAACACCCCGTGCTGATGAAGGCCCTTCAGATCCCCAACATTCTCCAAATGAAGAACAACATCATGGGATTCAAGGTAGTGCTGTAAAATTATTTTTATTTCTATTCAAATGTTTTCAAATTGCGGTCACAGTTCACTTAGTATTAGTCACAGTTCACTTAGTACTGGTCACAATTCACTTCTCATGGTCACAGGCATCTTTTTGAAGGTCACATATAACTATTTATCTTAATCATGTTTACAGGTGCTTCACGATTTGAATGTGCAAATATCAAAACTTAAGTCACAGAATAAAGTATTAACCCTGGAGATGGACGTCATTAAGTCACAGATGTCGAGCCTCAACTCTGATCAGGCAAAAAAGATATCTAAAATCATCCTAATGCAAGGACAGTTAAAACATGACATGACCGAGATTAGGACGAACATGCAATTCCTGTCTGAATCCGTGACTGCAATGTTCTCAAGCTCAATGGATGAGATATTAAAGCGATTTAATGATAGGAAAGGTTGTCCAGTTAATGAGTACGAAGACACGGAAGCTGCTGTAGTTGGATGTGAAGAAAGTCATGCTGTCGAAGGATTCGAGAAGATCGACGAGGTAGGTACATAATATGTTCAATATATCTTTCACTGACCATAGTTACAATTTTTATGTCTCGAATTCTCCAATTTCACATACAGGTGGAAAAACTGCAACCTGTTGTCGACAGGAAAGGGAAGGAGAAGGTCGACCCAACTGAAGATGTTGCCCTTCCATGTAGTCTTGAACCGCCATCATTTGACCTGGGTATCGGATACATATAACCAGATGATTTGCAGTCTGCAGAAATCCAAAAGCAGGTAGATGTTGTCATATCTGATATGATCACAGCATCCCAAAATGTTGATGAAGAGGTATTCAAATTATTTTATTTTTGGTGTAATCTGCTAGTAACACAATGTGTACATCGAATTTATACAAACTAAATGTGACCTTTTACAATTCACAGGGATCACCAACTCCTAAACCGGCTTCTGAATTACCAGTTAAGTGGGTTTCAAGGCCTGCGAGGATACTGCTGTCTCCATTTGTTGTCGGGGAAGAAAAGGTATCGCGGCATGACGGTAATGTTATTGTATTTGGAAATTATAAAAATCATGTTGAAGAAGCTGATAAATCAGCATTCTTGGGTTGGTTTCAGAGAGGGTATAAACCCAAAAACAGGCATGTATATTTTTTCTTATATTTTCAAATACACTGGTCACACAGTCACAGTATCTTGAAGGTCAACTTTTGGCAACAGGAAAAAGTTTAATGAGCACGATGACCAAATCAAACCAGCCTTTAGTATTGGCTTATACCCAGTCGGTCACAAGACATGGTTCTACCAGCTGATAGATGCTGAAACGTCTTTAAGCGGTTCGGTATAGTAACGCTTATGTATTTGTTCACTACACATTTCCTTGATAACCAGTTACACAACATTAAGAACCTCATACAACACCATGCACATACCGTTGAGCTGCCCACTGTCATAGAGTCATAATTTTTTAATGTTGTACTTAACTGTGTCCTTCATGTTCAAACAACATATGGATGCATGCTTCTACTATATTCGCCAGGTAGCAAAATTTGGGAAAGTAAAGTTTAGAGTTACAACGACAGACTCTTGGTTCCGGAACAAGATAAAAGATATATTTCCCGCTTTCCAAAAAGACCCTCAAGTTCTGTTATCGGAGAGCAACTTGATTAAGGCTATCACAGGTCACCTAATATCCCAAGCATATCTTGGGCCGATGTAGACTATGTGTTCATGCCACTCCTACCCACGAATAAAGCTCAATGGATGCTAGGTCTGGTAGAATTTAGAAGCCATACTTTGATGCTGTTCAATTCAGTTGGAAAAACTTATCGTGATTGAAAGGTGCTGGAAGGTATTGAGTCTTATGTGAAGGTATTGCCTGTTCTTATGAAAGCGTTGGGAATTTCGAAAAAAGACCCCAATTACAACGAATCTGAATGCAAGCAAATGAAGATGACCATTAACAGTAGCCTACCTCAGCAGACGAATGGGTAAGTATGTGACCGACTACAGCAGTATAACTTGTAAATTAATTAATTCATAACATACTATATTGTGTTCTTTTACAGTCATCACTGTGGGGTGTTTGTGATATTGTATGCATTGTATATCCTCCGTGATGGCAGATGTGCTATTCTCCATCAGTTCGATGCTGCAAAATGTAAACTTGATATTGCCTTACTACTCTACAAACACCGAGAACCTTATGTGAAGAAGGCGAGGCAGGCTTTTAAAGGGGAGGGGATTGTAATAGAATGACAAATATGAAAACATTTGTAAATGAGTTTTATGCTTCAGTTGGTAGCTTTTTACATTTCTTTTAAGCAGTGGAGGTGTTTGTACTCGATACTGTCATATGGATGTGAATATGCTTTTGCAATACATGGGTGCCCCAACCTTCAGCTGTTAATATGTTGTTGCTTGGATACACAGTTGTGCTTTTGGTCACAGATTTATTTTGCAATGCTATGTGTAAATAAATGACATATGTCAATAACATGTCACATATGATATGCATAGTAGGTCACGGATTTAGCACTCATAACATATGATGCAAAGATTAGGTCACAGGTCGAATTGTACATCGGAAATTAGGTCACAGTACCAAGTCCCAGATTTACTATTGCTTTTGGTTGGAGTTTCGGTTTGACATGACATATGTAAATAACAGGTCACATATCATATGCATAGCAGATCACAGATTTAACACTCATAACATATCATGCCAAGATCAGCTCACAGGACTATTTGTGACCGAAAATTAGGTCACAGTACCAGGTCACAGATTTAGCATTGTTTTTGGTCGGAGTTTCAGTTTGACATGAAATATGTCAATAATAAGTCACATAGCATATGCGTAGCAGATCATGGATTTAGCACTCTTAACATTTCATGCCAAGAATCAGGTCACGGGTCTAATTGTACATCGAAAATTAGGTCACAGTTCATGGTATGTTGTAGTTCTGCTTTTGGTCACGTGGTTTCGATTTTTGTCACAGTTGTAGTCTGCCATGCCATTTGTAAATAACAGGTCATGTATCTGGCCAATGATTTGGTTGTGCTTTTGGTCACAGTTTTAGTTTGCCATGGCATATGTCAAGAACAGATCACATATCAATTAAAATAGCATGTCAAGAGTTGGTCACAGTTCATCTTATATATGGAATCTATGAATAGACATATATTTGTTCTCCACCACGTTTAGGTCACAATTCAAGGCATGAATTAATGGTCAAAATTCAAATATATTGCTGTGTATGGAATCTATAATCATAAATTTACACAACTCTTCGTTAAACTCAATAAAAAGTGCAGATGTATTTCATTTAGCATTTATTACCTTACTATTTAAACATCATTTGTCAATTGATCAACTGAAACACATTTCTACATGTCGGTATGCTAATAACAATTCAAGAATGTGACCTAACTTTGATAAGTCTTTATCATGTATTGACTTCTTATCAACCTTTCTTACTTAATGGGACGAAACATCTCCTATGGTTGTGACCATGTGCACCACAACATCCACATCTTATTTTTGGTTTTCCTTCCCTAGATGATCTCTTCCTCTTCTCAGTAGGTCTTCTAGAACTCCGCTTCTGATTAGGAGCTAAAACAATTTGAAATTTTACTTCATTGGGCACTCTCCATTCGTCTGGATTTCCAACAGGATATACCAAACTTTCGTAAGCATTTACATATGCATCCTTTGTGTAACAATAAGAACAGTAAGAATATGCATCCCTTTTCATATGTGCGATTACAACCAATGCATGTGAACAAGGCATCAGATCGACCTGCAGCATCCTGCAAGTGCATGTACATTGCTCAATGTCAACAACAAATATTGACCTTTCATCGCTCACGGAGAACACTGTTTGGTTGGAAGGAGATACCTGTGAGAGTGTAGTAGCACCAATGGTATGTGTCAGTTTAAACTCAAAAAAGAATAGGTCACGGACATTTATATTTCAGTGCACAATGGTATGTTCAGGTCACAGGTTTAGCATTAGCATACAAATTATATAGCACCACAAACAAAGTACACAACGTCACATACGTAAATTGCTGGTCACATGCAATTAATATTTGGACACATAATCACATACGTACATTCCATGTCATAAACACCTATGATATAATCACATGCATATTTCTGTTTAGTCTACATACACAAACTTTAGGATACATAAGAAAGTTACCCTCAAGTTCCTTAGTTCTGAACTTATTCTCCTCATGACATTCTCGAACTTGCTAGTCAACATCGTGAAAGTTCCACGCGCTTCGTCTCTCCGTTTATAGAACCAATTTTGTACTATTTGTCGCAATGACTCCAGCAAGAATACAATGGGGTAATTCTTAGTTGCCTTTGTGACCGCGTTTACTATGTTTGATATCATTGTAGAATATCTGTTTGCCGGCATATGTATTCGTGACCACTTTTCAGGGCTTACTTCATCCTGCCAAAATATATCGTAGTATGAGAATAGTGTAAAAGGATATATGTGATCACTTCACTTCATGTGACAATGGAGTGCTGTAGTCAGTACAGTACCAGGTAATCACGAATCTTATCATTCATTGCGTCCGGTTGTTGCATGTTGTATTCAAATTCTTCTAATGTGTAAGCGCGGATAGCCGAATTGAAAGCCTGCATAATATTTTTTCCTGATTTCCCATAATATGATTTTAGATTCTGCAGCAAATGGTACGAGCAGATACCATGGCAACTTCCCGAATACACCTGTTCTATTGCTTTCTTTATATTGCCATGATGGTCCGATACAAAGCACAATCCTTCTCTGTACCCATATGCATTCTTCAGTTTCTCTAAAAACCATATCCAAGATTTGTCGTTCTCATTATCCCCTACTCCAAAAGCAAGAACAAATATGACATTATTTGCATCCTGTGTACATGTTGTGAATTGGGTACCTCCGTAATGACCATTCAAATAAGTACCGTCAACGACAATTATGGGCCTACAATGTTGCCACCCTCGTATTGATGCACCGAGTGCCATAAAACAATACTTGAACCTATTGTGACTATCGACCTCCAACTCTGTGACCATACCAGGATTTTTTGTCGAACCATATAGAAGAAGCTTAATATCCTACCGAATGATTCCGTCGGATCATCCCTAATCATCTTCAATGTTTGTTCACGGGATCTCCAAGCTTTTGAGTAATTCAAATATACTCCAAAAGTATGTAGCATATCACTGCATATGTCCTTTGGTGTGTATATGGTGCCAGCCGATGTGTACTTGTACTTGATGCTAGATGACACAACTGCAGCTGATACTTGTCTGTGTGACCCCAACACCACATTTGATGCACATGTGTGACTATCAATCTTTCGAATATTAAATAGATTCGTTTTACCCCATTTTGACGATTGGCATAACCAAGTACATCCTTCCTGAGAACACCCAACCACATATTCTTTCTTGTCGGATTGTTCAACCATAAACTCAAACATGTTTCATATGGCAAAAAAGGATAGGCTCAATTTTAAAATATCCTTATCACGGAAAATCCTTCCTTCTTCGACCTCAATAGCATCTGCTATGGAAATAATCGTGACTTCATTGTCACAAATGTGACTTACATGTTTACTTGATGCTTCGCGAATTTCTGTGGCCACATCCTGCAATGTATAAAACTCTCTGTTACGATAAGCATTATCTATGACCATGTCAGACGGGTACTCTATTGCTGCATCAATTATGTCAATGATTAATGAGTATTTAGCTGGATCACGATCGACTTCTTTCAGCAGAATGTATGCAAGCACGTTGCTGTCATTTTTTATCCTGATTGCTGGCAAATCGTTGTTGAGTATTTACTTCAATGATACTGCTACCTTGGTCGGATCCAAGCTAAACTTTAACATAATCGTGTTTACAAGGTTTATATAACTGCATCTACGGTCTACCAACGCCAACGCTGACTGAGATCCATGCAACAAACATACGTGCAGTACACCATTTCTGCAAAATTGAATTTCAAATCCTCACATTCTCGATGGTTAATTTAATATTGTGCATACAGTTTTATATAAGAATTTATGCAATAACATGAAGTCACATATAACACTCAAAAAGTAGGTCACATTTGGTGACACACAGGTCACATCTCATGGATAAAATTGGTTTCAATCCCTTCTCCAATTTGCTCACACGTTCACATACGTGACATGCGTACGGATACTGTTGTGTCGAGTGGTCATATTTTGGTCAAATATCAGAATAGGTCACACACGGGTATGATCAGTGCAAATATAACATATCTTACAGATAATTGAAAACAAATGGAGGTTATATTTTTTTCACAGAGGTCACATTTAATCGTCCACAATGAATCCTCTGTTTCTTCGTCTTCCAGTGTAAATCAGAAAGGTCACATACGCTGTTCACATCTTATGTTTGATGTTGTTACAATCTGCTACATTTGTTTTAGTGGTCATAGACATCCACAATCGATGCTACACTTGTATAAGACCGGTTATACTCAATTAAGTCACATATCATGCATGTTGTTCATGTCCTACTGCACAATATTATTGAATTTGAGACATATGTGGCCATGATAGATACGATCGCTGGAAATTTACGTATTGAAGAAATTCGGATCTTATTTGATGATGCTAAATATGAAAAACTAGCAGTGCAATAATTGGACCAATACCTTGATTGATTTCTGTTATGCGAAAACGTCAATTTCTCCAAGCCGATTCCAAATCTGTGACACGAAAATATCAATGTCGATGACATCAATCATTTCACATTTGAATGGCGTATACACAATTACCTGATTTTCTCTTCTTCGACGGCTAAATTAGGGTTCTACAGTGTCTGGATTGAAATTACACTGGAGGTTTTATTTTTGATGAGGATTTTGTAGTGATAGAGCCCTTTTATTGATGAAAACTACGCGGGATTATAGGAAAACTACGTAACAGAATATATATATATATATATATACAAACCTGAGATTTGAATACTTACTTTTTATACCTCAATTGTGAATTGGTGTTAACTATATACCTTACATATGAATTTTTCCCTAAATAAAATATATTTCTTCAACTTACGGTAACTAATTGTTCAAATACTAAAAAAATTACTCCATTCATCCCATAAAGATGGTCATGTTTTCCTTTTTCGTTTGTCCTAAATTATGGTCCTATTTCTTATTTGATAGTGTAGTTAATATACTATTTTCCTAATATGTCCATATTTAATGTGCTTTGTTATCACAAAGTTAGAGTTTAATTACCTTGAATATTGCATGTATAATTTAATTATTTTGAATATTGATTGCATTAATGTAGGGATATATTAGAAAAAATGATAGTAAAATTTATTATTTCAACTATATTAATTAAATTTTCTTAATCTGTGTGAAAATTGAAATATGATTATCTTTATGGAACAAAGGGGAGAGTATATAAAAAGTTCCAAAATTATGTCATACAAATTTGGTATAATAGTGCATATGATCCTTAATCTTCCAAAAATTTATGTGATATACCTATAACCTTTAAAAATAACACCGCAGATCCCAAAAAATAAGCATGGCATGATGAAATCATTTTGGGATTGGAGTGGTAGAAGTTGAATGCGGGTGGGTTGCGATTGTTTTTGGTGGCTGGGATTTTTTCATTTTTCACTTTTGTTATTTTTTTTATTCCTCTTTTCTTTTTATGTTTTGTCTTTTTATTTGACCTTAATAATTGAAATGTCCATTGAGTATCATGACTTATTATGAGGGCACTTTTAAAATTGACCTAGTTAAAGGTTCTTATTTTCACTTTGACTTTTAAAAGCTTGAAAATTTTCACATTAACCTCTTAAATGGTAAAAGACAAAGATGCCCTTAAATATATTATATAATTACAAAATATTGGATAGTTTAAAATACATTATTACCCTTTTAATTAATAATTGAAAACCAAACACTTTCCCACTTATAAAACTGCAGAACAAGTTTCGAACACAGAAAAACTCTTATTTTTCATCTGCTTGAACCTTAAAATATCAACAAACTTTCAAACGCTGAAACCATAATTTTTTTCAGATTAATTACTTCAAATTGGTAAGTATATTTATACATGCTTAATTTCGATTTCAGTAAATTAGTGTACGTTTGAGTAGTTAAATAACACAGTAGTTCGTATAATTTTTTTTTAACACATCTATAATTTTTTTCTTTAGAACAATAGAAAAATAAAAAGTCATACGCAAAATAAACAGTCTGGCAATCAACTGTGGGATGTTAACGAAAACTGTTAGATAGCAGACAGCCGACTGTCTAACGACCGACTGTTGACTGTTAGTTGATTGTTAAACAGCCGACGTGACAGTCGACTGTTTCAAATTAATAGCCGATTGGCAGTTGGTTGTTTAAGCCGACTGTCGGCTTAAAACAGACGACTGTCAGCTGTAAAACAATCCACAGTCGACTGTTTTACGAATTTTTTTATTATTAATTTCTATTTTGACAATTGTCTTATAATTTTAATTACAAGTTGATCAAATAAATAAATATCTGATTTTTTTTGTTGTAATTGATTTAAAAATTCTATATCGTCATGTAAATATGAATTCCGGTATGATAATTCCGGTCTGTTATTTAGGTGATTTCGAACTGAATGAAAATAATAGATGGGAATGGAGATGGACGAGTGATGTATGTAGTTGTATTACAATTCCCGTAACAAAGAGTCCATCATATGCGAAAGTGTATCAGGATTTGCAAAATAAGCTGAATGTCGATTTTTTCAGTATGATATGCAACTGAGATATTTATTCAATGGTTATGGGGATTCGTTCATTTTGATTCCACCTATATTTTTTTTTTACTAATAATGTTGAATTGAATTATCTATTAGAATTGAATAAAATGCATAGGACTCCGACTGCTCTTGGCATGACTTTAGTTAAGAAGGACGTTGTCGAAAGTGAAAGCGAAGATTCAAATGGAGCGGATGATAATGACCGATATTTTTGAGAGACAGTGGAGATAGTTCCTACAGATGATGTGGTTATTCCTGAGATAGTTACTATTGATCGTGAAGTCACTGTTATGCTAAATTGGGTAGGTATTGCCATAACATGTTGAGAACTAATCTTGGCTCGGCATTTTTTATTGAAATCGGGGGTGGTGATTGTTTTAAATATTTTTTCATGGCTCTCGAACAATATATTCGGGATTTTCGAAATACAATGCGGCCCTGCAAATGAACAATATTGTGTTTGTTTGGTTCCAATTTAATTTTAAAAAAATATTACAAACACTTAAGATATAGACTGCTTAGCCATCGTCCTATCCCGCATGATGGCTAGTCTGTCCTGCACAGTCATGCTCACCTATCTAGCCATCATAGGAATGATCACAGTCACCGACTCTAAGTTCTGCTCGAGTTGTCCCTATGTCAGACGTGAATGATCAGGGTCATATATATATATATATATATATCATCGACTCAGGGAACACGATCTCCAGTGCAATGCAGTGATGATTGACTATCACTGGAATGTACATATGCGTGTAGTCCTCCCACGGGTTTTCCCCAACAATCGATGACAAACCGATGACCCACTCGAGCATATATGCGACGGCACGTACTCGTTACCCATAAGCTGGAGCAACTGATACTCAATGGTAACGACACGGAAGAACTCGGTGTTCAGTATTATTCGGCCAGGCTTGTATAATGATTATGGTTATCTCTCAACTCAATCGCACAACAAGTCAATGGCCATGTCGATGTGCTACATAAAGGAAAAAGAAATAAATAATTATTTCATTTAAAAAATTAATCGTAATGTGTACAAACAATAACAATAACACGTCATTTACATCGTCGGCCAGCTAAGCCCCCTGAGTGGTGATATCATGGAACCACTTATATGCGTCTGATATCGTTCTTCCGGCTGTCATACGAGTGGTGCTGAAAAAAAAATGTTAAACGAAACTTATGCGAGTACTGGTACTCTACTAAATCATACAATACTTACTCGGGCAACATTGCTCGTCACTGAGCCTCGAATGCTTTCCATTTGACATGGTCGACCTCCCGGAACACATTGGGGTACGTCCCGCTGATGAACCTCCTCCTCTTCGTCTCAGTGGTGAAGGGACAGATGACGTACTGTGGCGGCACTCTCGGCCTCTTGCCATCCACCATCTCCTAGTGGGACATCCCTCTGCTCGAGATGCTCTCCAATGGTGCATCCGAGGGGAGCATGTCTCCCATTGCCTTGCAAAGCGGGTACCCAATAGAGGGACGGTCTTGTATACCCAAATCTGTAATACATACAATTATTATATACAAATTCAATAGGAAAAATAATTTAACATTGATTATGTTAATCATGTATCCGCATCGCCAGGAGCAATCCATTAGTGTTGTACTTGCGCATAGCCCCCTTGGGCTTTGAGTGCGATTGGGTGAAGACGTGTACGGTATCCTCA